TAAAAAAAATCATGATTTTCTGAATTGAGGAGACTGGGCACTAACCTGGTCCAGTACGGTAATTAGTCTTTTTGAGAATCTATGCTTTCTCTAGCGTCTGTAGTGTATTGAGTTTTTCTTTCTAAATTTACTGAATATCTCAAGATGAACTATGTATGGAAATAGCGTTTTCATCACTGTTATGAAGATTACTAAGACAAAAAACAATCCAGTGAGAGAGCCCAAGCATGCAAGGGGATCCAATTCCTGTTATGGCCCAGTGATGGGGGGGGGGGTCCAATTTTTGTATGTCCAGTGAGAGCCCAGAGGGTCCAATCTTTGTTAAATGTCCTGTGAGAACCAGGTAGGACCAATCCTTGTTAAATGTCATGTGAGAGCCAAGTAGGACCCAATCCTTGTTAAATGTCATGTGAAAACCAAGTAGGACCCAATCCTTGTTAAATGTCCTGTGAGAACCCAGTAGGCCCCAATCCTTGTTATATTCCCAGTGAGAGCCCAGTAGGACCCAATCCTTGTTATATGCCCAGTGAGAACCCAGTAGGACCCAATCCTTGTTAAATGTCCTGTGAGAACCCAGTAGGACCCAATCCTTGTTATATTCCCAGTGAGAGCCCAGTAGGACCCAATCCTTGTTATATGCCCAGTGAGAACCCAGTAGGACCCAATCCTTGTTAAATGTCCTGTGAGAACCCAGTAGGACCCAATCCTTGTTGTATGCCCAATGAGAGCCCACTAGGACCCAATCTTTGTTATATGCCCAATGAGAGCCCAGTAGAACCCAATCCTTGTTATATGCCCAGTGAGAACCCAGTAGGACCCAATCCTTGTTAAATGTCCTTTGAGAACCCAGTAGGACCCAATCCTTGTTATATGCCCAATGAGAGCCCACTAGAACCCAATCTTTGTTATATGCCCAATGAGAGCCCAGTAGGACCCAATCCTTGTTATATTCCCAGTGAGAGCCCAGTAGGACCCAATCCTTGTTATATGCCCAGTGAGAACCCAGTAGGACCCAATCCTTGTTAAATGTCCTGTGAGAACCCAGTAGGACCCAATCCTT